CTGCTGTCAGGTGTATGGTGGGGGTTGAAACAAAGTGACTGAAGAAGAGTCTGCGGGTAGTAAGCAATACCTGCAGTTCCGGGGGCGGCTTGAACAATTCCCTGTACAGTCACAAGCAGTGCGACCGCTATCGCTGGTGCGAGGACGCGTGCGACGATGAGAGAGGTAGAGAGCGACCGCTTGTGGCGAACTGGCGACATGGTTTGCGACACTCAGAATCGTCGCGACACAAAATCGCAGTGTGTCGCCGCGTGCCTGTCAAGAGCTATTCGCGGTTTTTTCCACGAAAACCTTGTATCCAAATCGAACGGCTTGGAACGGCAAATTATTGTTAAGCGTTTCCAGTGTAATCTCAACGGCAAGAGCTATTGGGAGAGGTTCAGGACTGGCAGACAAGTGCGGGTTCTATTACTGCATAGCTCAAGCTCCAAACGTACAGAAACATAACATGCCTATCGTGTTCGTGCTTGCACACACTACCTTCCAAGATGTAACACCGACCGACTATGCGTTCCGCTCTATGGCTGTCCTGAACTGTAAATGCCTTCCTAGTTCCGCCTGTCGTCACTCTTTCGCGAAAATGAGCATGCTAAACTCGAGAAATAGACCGACAATTCTCTAACAAAGGCGCCTTTGCCAGGACTAGCACCAGAGAGCGTTGCTGAGAGACATTTCTTGGGCGGCGGGGGATGAACATGGTCATTTATCTAGTTCTGGACTCTTGGAGTAGCAACAGAACAACCAGCATTTCTCTTAGCTTGGTGTGACAATAATGCCTAGTCACGGTTTCGATTGGTGCGTTACGGTGCGAAAAGGTATAGAAAATACAACGCTGTTTACCGTGTGGAAATCTACTGAACCGGAGCTTCCATCAGCCCTTTACCAAAGCAGTCGGTTATGTCAGAGGAGAGCGGTGATCGCACCGTCCATCTTGGCTTCCTCGCAGTCGTCAGCATTTCAATCCGTCGGCACGGCGCTCCCACACCGAACCGCGCACCTTCCTGTGCTTCCGAACGCGACGCCGGCGGAGTGGCGGGAATAATTTCGGTTCTGACAGGCCATTGAAATTTGACCGTTAGGAGCAATGCTCATGCACAGAATATAGTGGCTTCGATATGTACTGGTAGTGAGTAAAACGCTTGCTTATTAGATCAGTGTGAAGAAAGTACACAAAGCTACTCTATCGAGAGAGTGAAAATGCTAACTTTTTACCAGCTCAAAATTAATTGTGCTCAAATGGACCCGAATTCTAGGAACATTAGCCCAGCACTCCAACACAGTCTTATAATCAGCCAAATCAGGATAGATCCTGATAAAACAGGGCCTGCTCCCCACTTCCACACTTCTTTCTACCTGCTCATCGCATCCCAACACCGATCAAAACTGTACCCACAACTCAAACACAAGCAAAAATAGACAAGCACACACTCTGTTGTGCAACTACCCACTGTATATCACTAGCCCCTCTACTTCTTGACATATGCGTAGTACTGGAGCATCGGAACCACAAACGCGATAACCAAAAGTCCCCCCACGACCGTCGTGAATTGGTCGCGCTTCGAATCGGTCTCTTCGCGCGTCTTGTAGTTGGATTCCCGCTTCGCGTCATTGAACTTGGGACCCGGGATATCCGGCTCTCCGTTGATCCGCGCTACAAGGCGCTTGGTTGTCGAGTACATGGCCTCGTTGTAACGCTCCTCAGTCGCCAAAACTGCGGGAGAGAGGAAGGTGAACGGGGAGGGGGCGGGGATAGGGGGGTTGGAGTTGAAACGTGTGAGGCGCTTGGTTGTCGAGTACTTGGTCTCGTTATAACGCTCCTCCGTGGCCAGGACTGATGGGGAGACAAGGGTAGGGTGGGGGTTGAAAAGGGGATTCTTGAGGCTGCCTGAAAAACTGGGCTCCTTGTTAATAAGCTTCTGTGCATGGCCTTGTTGTAACGCTTCTCAGTGGCCAGGACTGAGGGAGAAAGTAATGAGAGGGGGGGGGAGGGGGGGAAGAGGGGGGGGGAGCAGAGGGGAGGATGATAAGGGGTTGGGAGTGGATAAATTTGAGGTGTGTAAAGAAATGATTGCCTACAAGGCGCTTCGTTGTCGAGTACACGGCGTTGTTGTAATGCTCCTCGAAGTTTTGCGGTGGGTGGAAAGAGCGGAGGGGAGGATGACACGGGATGGGACGGGGTAGAGAGTGAGAGAGGAGGGGCGGAGGGGGCAATATATACCTCTTTGAGGGGGGAGAGGAGGGGATACGAGGAGAGGAGGGGAGAGAGCGGGGGGTGGGGGCGGGGAAAGAGGGAGTTCGCGAACTGACACAAATCGCACCAGTATAGTACGCTTTGTTGTCAGTTGCGAGGCGAAGAGACCGCAACCGCACAGAGCGGAAGGAAAGACTCATCCGAGAGGTTCTCAGAGACAATGCCCTCAAACTCCTCGTCACCAATGGTGTTTGTAAGGGTCGGACCGCCCGAACGACGGAATGACAGACCGCAAGCGAGGCAGGCTCACCTGGAAGGTTCTCAGAGACGATGCCCTCGAACACCTCATCCCCAATGGTCTCAATGAACGTGGGACCGCCGGCGACGGCTCCCTCCTTCTGCGAGGTGACGAGGAGCACGACTCCGCGCTTGTCGCCCTCCTCCACGGTCGGATACCACGACTCGAGAATCCTGTCCGCGAGCTCGAACACGTCGCCCTTGCCCTGAAATGATTGGGTATCACGGAGACGAGGGAGCAAGGAATGAAGAAGACTGTCAGGGGAGAATGGGCGCTAAGGGCCGCTTGTCGCCCTCCTCCACCGTGGGGTACCACGACTCGAGGATCCTGTCCGCGAGTTCGAACACGTCGCCCTTGCCCTTCGGGGGTGGGGGAGGGGGATGTGCGGAGGAGAAATGAGGGAAATTGTCAGGGAGGGATGCATGGGTAGGTGGCTGCTTGTCATCCTGCTCCACCGTGGGGTGCCACGCGACTCGAGGCTCTTATCTGGAGTGACTATCGTCCACGGTTATCCTGAGTGCGCGGGGAGGGTGACAGCATGCTCGTAACAAAAAGGACTGAATTGATTCGGACGCCTGAAAATTGGTTATGAATTGATCGTCGAAATCCGGATCGACTGACGTCTGTCCTCCTCCTGGGGAAGACTGTCTTCGCTCTTTGGGAGTGGAGAGGGGAGACGAGGGGAGAGCTGGAGGAGAGAAGCCACCAATGAATGGGAGGAATCAACAATATCCCTTGAGTGGACATCATCTGTTATCCCTGAATGGGGAGGAGGAATAAAATATCGTTCTAAGAAAAGAAACAGGTAATAAATAGCGTAATCCAGCTTCACTCTGGCATTGGCGCTCATTAAGGCAGTGTATGAAACGGATGCGTTTTGCACCGACTCAAACCGCTTCTGGTGATGGAGCAGATTCAGGCAATGCCTGAAACCGGCTCTGCGAGTTGACTATCGAGAAGACTCAACAAGCATCTCGCTTCAGCGGCAGCTTTATCGCAACGAGCAATGCTTCTTCCTGACTCTGCACGGACTCGTTCTAGCTTAATACAACTTTCCTGACGACTTGTTAACGCGGATATTAGTCAACTTACAGCAATCTTCCTCAGGGTCACAGCGTCAATGTGGAAACCAGTCCGCTCCTCCAAATCCGTCAGCAGCTTCTTAATGTCCGACCGCGTGATCCGGCTGAGGACATTCGCGTCGTCGTAATAGTGCGACTCGAGCGGCGGTGGCGACCGCAGGATTGCGAACTCGTCGGCCTTAGCTCCGTCAACGGCTGACGGAGTCAGTTGAAGCGCGGCGGCTAGCCCGAACGCCGCTGCGCCGGTTCCTAGCTTCTCCCAGATGCTCTTCTCCTCTGCGCGCTTCTCGCTGGAAGAAGCGGAAGGACCGGCGACGCAACGCACTGCCTGGACCTTGGAGGTCTTCGCTGACGTGGACTGCGCGACAGCGAGCTTCGCGCCAGCGAGGCTGCTGAGGGAGGAGGAGAGCGACACGGCAGCCATTGCGTGAGAATCTGGCTCAATAAGCAGACACTACCGAAGCTGCTTGAAAAGAAGATGGGAGAGCGGGACAGGCGGGATAAGCAGGGATTCCCAACAAGCAAGCGGCTGAACAGGACTGAAGAGCAAGCTTGTGAATGATTTGGAATCTGCTGCTGGAAAATTTTGCATCAACAATGACAGAGATGGGCGAACATGGAAATGCGGGAGTTGGCGGGGACGGGGCGGAACTCCCGAGGAGAGTGAAACGCAGGGCGGGAAAAGCATCAGGGCGTTATTCGGCTTGGCAGAGGGTGTTGTTCGGCTTGACAGAGGGCGTTGTTCGGCTCGGCAGGAGGAGTTGTTCGGCTCGGCAGCCATCGAACCAGTAGAGAGGAACTACTGGTGCTGGTAGAGATGGCTAGGCGGAGATGGCCTGCTAGGGATTGGCTGCTCGGAGCAGAAGCGGAACTTTGGGGGCACTGACGGGGGGAATTGCCGTGGAGGAAATGGTGTTCGAGGCTTCCTCGGGTGCTCACTCGGTATGTTCGAGGTGCTGGTGCTGACATGTCGTCGGGCTTTAGAAAGCTGACCTGGAATGGCTAAATCAGGTGACGTGGGTAACTCTGGTTGCGTGTAAGATCCACGCTGGGAACGATGGGTTACTTGTAACCAGAAATGACGACGGATGCTTCGTCTGCCACGACAGTCTCCGAATCTTCAAAATCTTTCTTGGATTGCCCGCCCCTTGAGGGCTCAATACAAGTCAGCCTAGTAATACTACTGGAGTGGAGATCACAAACAACTAAAGTGAATATGGTCCTATACACAGACGATAGCCGATTTTCCTTGTAGTTCCACAACAATTTGGTGGACCTGGTCTGTTATTGAAGACTCATGTACAAGCGGGCTCACTCGCTATTTAATTCCATGCCCCCAAAATTTATGCGAACCAGTAGAGAGGAATGTGTGATATAGTTCCTTGAGTGCACATGACATCTTACGCATTCTTAGAAAACTAATTTGGCACTAGGCTTGCAGGTGCTTCAGCTCCCTGTCTCTGAAAACCCTATCCACAACATCCACAGGAAGCGCGTAAGCTGGGTCCACTGGCTTGAGATTGGGGTACTCCAACAGACTCAGGCCTGAAAGAGAAGAGAGGGGGGGAGGGGGGGGGGGAAGAGGAGGGAGTGGGGAGGACGTGATAAGTGAGGAGAGGGGTAGGGAGATGGGGAAAAGGGAGAAGAAAGGTGATATAACATTTATAGGAAGCACGTAAGCTGGGTCCACTGGCTTGAGTTTGGGGCACTCCAAAAGACTCAGCCCTGACATGTTGACATGTGGGGCAGAGAGGGAGAGGGTGGGGGAGGAGGAGGAGGAGGGAAGTGGGAGGCAGGTAGGGAGGTAGGGGAATTGGCAGGTGAAACAGCAATCACAGGAAGCTGGGTCTACTGGCTTGAGATTGGGGTACTCCAGACTCAGGCCTGACATGAAACGGGGAGAGGGGTAGGTGGATGGGGGGAAGGATGGTGGGAAAGCGGAGAGGTGATAAGTTGTGTGTAAGCTGTTTGTAAGCTGGGTCCAATGGCTTGAGATTAGGGTACTCCAACAGACTCAGGCCTGACAGGAGGGAGGGGGGACACAGCAACAAGAGGTTATCATGCCGCATGCATGCCACACATCCATTCTCTCATAGCTATCCTGCCACATGTCATATAACCATGCTCCATGTGCATGATATGCTCTACATGCTTTCACAAGCGATGCCAAGAAGGTTTGGAACAGATCCATCTCCCCCATGCGATGCAATGATGCTGCAGATGCTGCACACATGATATGCTCCATGCTTTATATACATGCTTTATATGCATGCTGTATGTACACTCACCAGCGATGCCAAAGAAGGCATGACACACGTCCACCATGTCGTTGGGTCGGTCTGAGATGGGTTCAGAAATGGTCGCACTATATGATCCACATCCCACTGGTATGCCTCACCAGCAATGCTGAAGAACGTATGAAACACACCCACCATGTCGTCTGGTCGGTCTGAGATGGTGTTGCCCTCTAACGGAATCTCTATGCACCACTACCCACTCACCAGCAATGCCAAAGAAGGTATGGAACACATCCACCATGTCGTTGGGTCGGTCTGAGATGGTATTGCCATGCATCCATGCTCCACATGCTCCACGCACCATATGTCGAAAAAGGTATGGAACGTACTCTCTATGCACCACTACCCACTCACTCCACTCACCAGAAATGCCGAAGAAGGTATGGAACACATCCACCATGTCGTTGGGTCGGTCTGAGATTCCACCCCTCTCCTCGTCCTGGGTGCATGGATGGAGGAACGTTTGGGCGGATGGGTGGGTGGGTGGGGAGGAGGGGAAAGGCGAGACTTGAGGCGCCTTGCCCCTCTCCTTATGGGGGTTTCAGAAAGCATCTGTTGAAAACCACCTGACACTGTAGCAGATACTGCAACCACTTGGCAGCCCTTGATTTGCGTAGTGACATTCAGAGCACCTGGAATCGTTGCAACCACCTGAGAGCAACGCAATCCCCTCAGTATAACAAGCAGATGCTGATGTCGCAATCCCCTTGGGTTTTACAGCTTTATGACACTGTTGCAACCACCTGACAGTGTTGCAATCACCTGACAGGCTGACACTGTTATAATCACCTGGCACTGCAGAATGAAGTGCTGGAGCTTCTCTGCACTGATCCAATGCACTCTGTCGATGAGCACGAGGCTGGAGAGGACCCACCAGGAGTAGCACACCTGGGATGCAAGAAAGGTGGCAAAGCAAGGCATAAAAAAGGAAGAGAGGAAGGCAAAAGAAGAGCTTCTCTGCACTGATCCAATGCACCCTGCCGATGAGTACAAGGCTGGAGAGCGCCCACCAGGAGTAGCACACCTGAGAACATGGAAGGGACAGAGAGGCCGCAGCGTATAGGAAAGCATGAGAAGGGAACAGGCTATTGGGGTGTGCATGCCGTGAATGCACCCTGCCGATGAGTACAAGGCTGGAGAGCGCCCACCAGGAGTAGCACACCTGAGAACATGGAAGGGACAGAGAGGCCGCAGCGTATAGGAAAACATGAGAAGGAAACAGGCTATTGGGGTGTGCATGCCGTGAATGCACCCTGCCGATGAGTACAAGGCTGGAGAGCGCCCACCAGGAGTAGCACACCTGAGAACATGGAAGGGACAGAGAGGCCGCAGCGTATAGGAAAGCATGAGAAGGAAACAGGCTATTGGGGTGTGCATGCCGTGAATGCACCCTGCCGATGAGTACAAGGCTGGAGAGCGCCCACCAGGAGTAGCACACCTGAGAACATGGAAGGGACAGAGAGGCCGCAGCGTATAGGAAAGCATGAGAAGGAAACAGGCTATTGGGGTGTGCATGCCGTGAATGCACCCTGCCGATGAGTACAAGGCTGGAGAGCGCCCACCAGGAGTAGCACACCTGAGAACATGGAAGGGACAGAGAGGCCGCAGCGTATAGGAAAGCATGAGAAGGAAACAGGCTATTGGGGTGTGCATGCCGTGAATGCACCCTGCCGATGAGTACAAGGCTGGAGAGCGCCCACCAGGAGTAGCACACCTGAGAACATGGAAGGGACAGAGAGGCCGCAGCGTATAGGAAAGCATGAGAAGGAAACAGGCTATTGGGGTGTGCATGCCGTGAATGCACCCTGCCGATGAGTACAAGGCTGGAGAGCGCCCACCAGGAGTAGCACACCTGAGAACATGGAAGGGACAGAGAGGCCGCAGCGTATAGGAAAGCATGAGAAGGAAACAGGCTATTGGGGTGTGCATGCCGTGAATGCACCCTGCCGATGAGTACAAGGCTGGAGAGCGCCCACCAGGAGTAGCACACCTGAGAACATGGAAGGGACAGAGAGGCCGCAGCGTATAGGAAAGCATGAGAAGGAAACAGGCTATTGGGGTGTGCATGCCGTGAATGCACCCTGCCGATGAGTACAAGGCTGGAGAGCGCCCACCAGGAGTAGCACACCTGAGAACATGGAAGGGACAGAGAGGCCGCAGCGTATAGGAAAGCATGAGAAGGAAACAGGCTATTGGGGTGTGCATGCCGTGAATGCACCCTGCCGATGAGTACAAGGCTGGAGAGCGCCCACCAGGAGTAGCACACCTGAGAACATGGAAGGGACAGAGAGGCCGCAGCGTATAGGAAAGCATGAGAAGGAAACAGGCTATTGGGGTGTGCATGCCGTGAATGCACCCTGCCGATGAGTACAAGGCTGGAGAGCGCCCACCAGGAGTAGCACACCTGAGAACATGGAAGGGACAGAGAGGCCGCAGCGTATAGGAAAGCATGAGAAGGAAACAGGCTATTGGGGTGTGCATGCCGTGAATGCACCCTGTCGATGAGTACAAGGCTGGAGAGCGCCCACCAGGAGTAGCACACCTGAGAACATGGAAGGGACAGAGAGGCCGCAGCGTATAGGAAAGCATGAGAAGGAAACAGGCTATTGGGGTGTGCATGCCGTGAATGCACCCTGCCGATGAGTACAAGGCTGGAGAGCGCCCACCAGGAGTAGCACACCTGCAAAGACAACAGGATAACAAGCCAGAAATCCAGTTTTGAGACATCTCAAAAGCGAGTTTTGAGACGGCTCAGAACTCCCAGGAGTAGCACATCTGCAAAGGCAACAGGATAACAAGCCGGAAATCTGGGAACTAGGTTCACGCACACGTCAAGAACACATCAAGCACACATCAATCACACATCTGGAAGTTTCTCCGGTAGCCCGTTAAGCACCCCCACTGCTGGCACCTGGCGTTCACACAGCCACCAGGCCAGGAGCATCCCAAAGAAAGGTACCAGATACTCGGACATTTTCCAGTGAGCAGCGGTGCTTAGGTTTAGGCTTGAGCAAGTAGGAAAAAGACAGTGTAATTCTTAACACTATCTACTAGCCAAGAGCATCCCACAGCCACCAGCCTAGGAGCATCCCAAAGGAAGGTACCAGAGAGAAAAAAGAGCTCAACACGGGTGACAGGTGGGTGGGGACTCACATCTGGCAGCTTCTCTGGCCGCCCGTTGAGTCCCCCTGCTGGCACCTGGCACTCGCACAGCCACCAGCCCAGGTGGCAGGGAGGCAGTAGGCAGGCAGAGAGTAGGTTGGTAGAACGCATATAGCGGGTATGTACTCACATCTGGCAGCTTCTCTGGCCGCCCGTTGAGCCCCCCTGCTGGCACCTGGCGCTCGCACAGCCACCAGCCTAGGAAAGAGAGAGAGACCGTATGCTGCTTCCTCACCAGCTGGGGTGGTAGTCAGGTAGTAGGTAGCTACTCACGTCTGGCAGCTTCTCTGGCCGTCCATTGAGCCCTCCTGCTGGCACCTGGCGCTCGCACAGCCACCAGCCTAGGAAAGAGAGAGAGACCGTATGCTGCTTCCTCACCAGCTGGGGTGGTAGTCAGGTAGTAGGTAGCTACTCACGTCTGGCAGCTTCTCTGGCCGTCCATTGAGCCCTCCTGCTGGCACCTGCCGCTCACACAGCCACCAGCCAAGGAGATCGTGCTCGACCAATGAGAGCGCGCCAGCTATTGCCAGAGCCGCCACACAGCAGAAGACTGGTTTGGACGGGTTGGGTGGGGGTTGGAAGGAGGGGGGGTGGGAGATCGAGAAGAAAGGCAGGTTTGGATGGGTTGGGATGTATGAACCTAAAATCGCATTGACAGCAGACATTGTGGAACGCAATTATGTGAATTATGAAGTACGCACGTGTTTATACAAAAATAGAGCTCCATCGCACTCCCCGCCTGCGATTCGTCGCCCGGAATGGAACTGAATCCGCCGTCAAAATTCTGACATCTGGTGATAACTAGGCTGATACACACACATATATGTACACATACATATTCATATGGATGTGAACTCTATCGCACTCACTCTGTCCCGCATGTGACTCGCCGCCCGGAATGGACCCGAACCCGCCGTCAAAGTTCTGACAGCTGGCGATGAATCGGACGGCTGCGGGGAGGTCGATGGCGTGTGTGCGATTGAGGAGGGAGAGGCAGGAGATGGCGCAGTAGGAGAAGCTGGGGGGGAAATATAGAGGGGTGCGGGGGGGTGCGGGGGGTGTGGCAGTGGGGGGGGAGGGGAGAGATGGTTAGAACAGAGAGAATTCAGGAAGGCATGGAGGCCGATGAATCGGGCGGCTGCTGAGAGGTCAATGGCGTGCATGCAATCGAGGAGGGAGAGGCAGGAGATGGCGCAGTAGGAGAAGCTGGGGAAAGGGGGGGGGAGGGAAGAGATGGTTAGAACAGAGAGAATTCAGGAAGGCATGGAGGCCGATGAACCGGACGGCAGAGGGGAGGTCAATGGCGTGCATGCAATCGAGGAGGGAGAGGCAGGAGATAGCGCAGTAGGAGAATCTGGGGAAAAGGGAGGGAGGGAAAGGGGGAGAAGGGGGAAAAGGGGGCGGGGGTGGGGAAGGGGGAGAAATGGAAAGGGGGGAGGGGAGAGGAGTGGGGTTAAACGCAAGAACATGGGGAAAGTGAATCAGGGTTCCTGGGAGGTCAAGGAGTGCATGTGATCGAGGTGGGAGAGGCAGGAAATGGGGCAGTAGGAGAAGCTGGGGAAAACATGGGGTAGTATTGGGGGGTGGGGAGGGGTATGGAGGGGTGTGGAGGGGTATGGTGGGGTGTGGATTGGTGTCGACGGGTGAGGCGAAGGCATTTGAAAGAATGATGGGACGGGTGCAGGGGGGAATGAATCAGTCGGCCAGAGGGAAGATCAGTTGGTTGAAGGTGCGCGTGTGTGCTCGAGGAGAGAGAGGCTGGAGGAGAGAGGGGGGTGCAGAGACGACTTTTGAGGCGCCTCAAAAGTCGTCTCAGTTGGTTGAAGGTGCGCGTGTGTGATTGAGGAGAAAGAGGCTGGACGAGAGAGGGGGGTGCAGAGCAGAGCAGTCAGCCCCGAGGAGCGACGAATCAGACAGCCACAGGGAATGGTCAGAGTGTGTTTTCCATCCCTCAGCTTCCACAGGGACGAGGATTGGGTTGGTTGGTTGATGGGATGCGATGTGAGTGACGTGTATGAAGCAGTGTTTTGAGACGTCGCAGAGCAGTCAGCCATGAGGAACGATGAATCAGACAGCCACAGGGAAGTGGATTGGTTTGGTTGATGGGATGCGATGTGAGTGTTTGAGGAGCTCAAGGAAGAGGCAGCACAGTGAGAAAAAGCTTGGCAAAAGTGGAGAAAGTGGAAAGAGGGGAGGGGGATGGGGGGAGGGAGGAGGGGGGAAGTGGGCGGGGGGGGAGAGCGGGCGCCCACTGTTTTTGCCGCCCACCCACTCACCGTGTGTCCACCTGCCCCCATTCATCTCCGATGAACGACCCATCTGCCTGCTGTAGCCCTGCCACATATGCGTGCCTGTTTGTTATGCACTGCTTGCCATCCAATGTGCTCCCCAACCATTGCGCTCCTCACCGATTGTGCCCCCCACCCACTGCGTTCGCCACTCACCGAGTGTCTACCTCCCCCCATTCATCTCCAATGAATGACCCATCCGGCTGCTGTAGCCCTGCTACATCTGCCAAGGAGACGACAAGTCAAGTCAAGTACGAGCTAAATCCGAGAAGGCTTCAGATTCGAAACAAACTCGGAAAACAGAAACCGAGACAGCACAGTGAAGCAGGCATGGATTGACGAATGGGAGACTGACAGGTGGCGACACGGTCGGCGTCTACAGCATCCAGTTTGTCCAGTAGTGCGAGGATCTGGACGGCACTGAGCGTGTAGAGCAGGTGAGAATCATGCCCTTTGCTGCCACCGAAACCACCTGAGAAAAAAAAGAATGAGACAAGGACAAAATAAGGATCTGGACAGATGGCCCCAGATGGCGGGACTGTGCATGTTCACACCACGCATACGCATACATGCACACCCTCACAGGAATGACTTTTGAGTCGACTCAAAAGTCAGATGGCACCAGACGGCGGGACTGTGCATGTTCACACGCATACGCATACATGCACACCCTCACAGGAATGCACTCAAACACAGAGAGAGAGAGACAGACACACACCGTCTGGTTGCTGGCAGGAGAGCAGCCAGGGCAGCATGGTAGGGCTGGGCATGTCCTTCAGCCTCCCCATGAGGTCCATCGCCTCACAAGTCAACTCTCTCACACGCAAACGCATAGATAGACACCCGTACGCACCGTCTGGTTGCTGGCAGGAGAGCAGCCAGGGCAGCATGGCGGGGCTGTGCATGTCCTTCAGCCTCCCCATGAGGTCCATCGCTGTCAACCCCCAGTAGGCTCCGCTCATCCTCAGATGCTCCGTCGCCACGTACTCGATTCCCTCTGTTTTCTACAGTAACGAGTTACGACGTACATAGAAGAAAAAAAAAAAACACACACACACACACACACGCAAAACACAAAACAGAAACGCAAACAATGTCAACATAGTGGGAAAAACCATAGGAAGCGAATCACGGAACAAAGAGGAATGCATTGCAGAGCAGTTTCACATCACAGACCGCCATGCCTTATTGTCTGCTGCTGCTCGCCCACTCATAACACCTCGAGTCTGTAAGCGAGGGAGGTAGCTGGGGTAAAAGGATTGCACATTCCCCGTAGCACGCACTCTGCGTGTACTTTGTCCAGGTTCAACGAATCACGTCATTTGTCACAGGCCCACATACTTTTTCCAGATTTTTATGTACTTCGCGTGCTTGGCCATCAGCAAGCGGTGTGTGTTTTGAGTCGACACAAAACACACCTTTCCATACTCACTGACTCACGCACTTTGTCCAGGTTCTTTATGTACTTCGCGTGCTTCGCCATCAGCAAGCGACCTCGCGGATTCTGCGGGTCGATCTCATCTTCCTCCTCCTCCTCCTTTTCTTCCCCTCCTCCCGCTTCTTTCTCGCCTCTTCCTTCCTTCCCTCCCCCCTCTGCCTTCTCCTTGTCTGCAGTCTCCTTTGCTGATTCTTCAGGCTTCGTTCCTGGTTTAGAAGCTGAAGCTTCGCTGTTGCTTCCAGCAGGTTCATTGCCTGAAGGATTTCTCTCTCCCTGTCCGTCTGATTCCTGCTCACTCCGCATTTCTCCGCCTGGCTCCGTGCCGCTGTGATTCTCCTCCGAGGGTTTGGCAGATTTATCCGGTCCTGTTAGATTGCTACTGTCGCCGTGATCGGCGGCCATGTCGGAATTACACGAAATGAAATTATGTCGATATTGCACCGCTAATGCGCAGAGTAGGTAATGATCTCAGTAGACTCGGGATCTGGCTCAGATGCTTGCTGGTGATGGTCGCAGATTATGCTCGAGTCGGCTGCAGTAGCTATGGATTGTGTGCCACTCCAGTGCTGAGGAACTATCAGTAATGATTGCAGGTAATTTGAAATGGTTTACGAGATTCACCAGTTTGAAACGCTACTCACCGATCTGAACCAGGATATGTGAATCTGCAGAAAATATGTTACTTCTTAGTGCTAATTTTCGGTACATCAGATAACGCTTCGAAACGCACCACACCAATAAAAACCGTGTGATACTTACCAGAAAGTCAAACCACCTGAACCAATAAAAAACGAGAACCTGAAAGAAAAACCTAAATCACCTATCTCTCTTCAGTACTCACTTTCGTTACAGTGAAATGCCGAGAAGTGTACATCGAAGCGTACAAACTTCAGGGTTTTCGCCCTTCCAAGTGACCTCTCCACCTCCATCTCTAGCTCCAGCTCAAGCTCGTGCTGCACGAATCTGGAGACTTGTCAAGACTGGCGTACCAAAAGTTCCTAGATTTCTTCATTTCCTGTCGTTGCAGCGTCTCCGGTTCGGCTGCATCAGTCAGTCGCCATGGATCCAGATGCCTTGGCCAAGGCGTTCGTGCAGCACTATTACACCACCTTCGACACGGCCCGCACTAACCTGTTCACGTTATACCAGGATCAGTCGATGCTGACGTTCGAGGGTGAGAAGTTCCAGGGAGTGCAAAACATCCAGAACAAGATCTCGAGCCTGCCTTTCCAGTCCTGCACACACATCGTCAGCACGGTCGATTGCCAGCCGTCGGGTCCTGGAGGCGGAATGGTCGTGTTTGTCAGTGGGAGCTTGAAACTTGCAGATCAGGAGCATCCTCTCAAATTTAGCCAGGTAGGTTGGGTATTAAACCGTCTTTTTTCTTGATCTGCGTATTTGCCGCAATTTTTCGTTGGAAACCCTAATCTACGCACATCGTGTATACCACTTTCATCCAAGCTCCACTGGTATCCGCCTCGTCCCGACATGCACCTATCAAGAAGTTCCCTAAGCTTCGGCGCGTTTCTTTGTGCAGATGTTTCACTTGATGCCTACACCTGCTGGAAGCTTCTACGTCCTCAACGACATTTTCCGGCTGAACTATGGTTGATGACCTTGCTGGTGTATAGTGGATCATTTATGGGAGGATTTTTATGCATTTATTGTACCCACAATAGTGAGCCGGCTCCTTCTCTGATTACTGACTTAAAACAAGGGCCTGGAGTGGTTGCTGACCTACTGAAGATGGGTATACATGGCAGGAACGATGATCAATGGCGATTGAGTCGAAACATGGTACGGTACTTGGTCAAAGAAATTGTTGAAAGAGTTGCGATTGGGACCCACCCCCTATGATTGGACAGGATTTGAGGCAGAGAAAGGGGGTGTCATGTGATATTGTCACAGCAATAAGGCTGCTTCAACAATGAAAATGGAGAATAAACATGACTGTTTGAAAAAAGGTTCACGGTACACACATACGGTAGATTCATTGAAACGGAGAGCTCCTGCAAAGGGGACACGCCCCAGCTGTTGCTAGCCATGCTGTGATGCATTGCTGGTGAAATAACTTGTTACAACATGGGAGAGCGACTGCAGATTCCCCAACGACCATTTCAGAAAGGCAGACAATACACCTGGTGCACAGGTGAGAGTACATACACACCAGAGGGAGCAGCAGGGAAGGGTGGTAAGGAAAGGGGAGGAGCATATTTATGCTGAGGGAAAGATGCACAGGAAACAATGGACAGGAAAACGGGAGGCAGGGGGCAGGCGCTATGTAGCAAATGTAGATGAAATGGTGGTTTGAGTTTGTGGGCCAAAATATCAAGGGGTGGACACGTATACACTTACTCTTGTTTCTCTTCTTGCTCTGCTGCAATGGGGTTCGTAACAAGCTGCGCTAGCTGTTGTGAGCTCGCTCCCTTTTTCACCAGCTTCCCTGACCTGGCTGACGCTTCTTGCCCCTGCAACTGTAAGCCATGGGAGTAAAGAAAGGATAAAAAAAAAGTGGATCAAGCAAGGTGGTTACCAGAATTCAGGTGTGGTCAGCTACGATGTTCTCAAGGACTGTCGGGTGCAGGCATACATTGAATGCAGCAGTGCGCAGAGTTCATGCCTCCTTTACTGTCTCCACATCAACTACTGCATCCGTCGCAGCTGCCTCACAACTAAATTAACATGCCTATAACTTGAGAGCATCGAATCATGCCTTGTGTCAATTAACACAAGCCTGCATACCTCATTTGCAGAAGCAGTCTCCACATCAACTGTTGCATTTGACTCTGCTGCTCCCGGAGAAGTAGCCTGTCCGGCCGAGGCTGAAAGGTCAGAATCCAGACCAAACGGGTGGAGGAATGGCAGCGTGATGAGGAGGCGCCAGGGCGACACATGCCGCGTTCTCGTCCACACGATCCAAACCACAGCAAGCCGGAATATAATCAGGCCGATGAGGCCACCAATCACCACCAGGGCCGATATGGTCAGAGCTCGGAGAAGAGTTGCAGAGTCAAACAAATCTGATTCAAAAGAAGTGGTGGTGTTGGGAAAGGAGGAGGATGGCAGTGGTGATGTGATTTCCGGGGCAAAGACGAGGATTGGTACGGAGAAGGGTGGAGGAGGAGAGGGTGGGACGGGGTTGCTGCTGAGGGAGGAGAGATGCCGATGTGTAAGCATGGCTGGCAGCTGAGTTGAAAGAAATCTGATTCAATCGCAAGGAGCTATGCTGGAAGATGTCAAAGCAGCCGTGTAGTATATCGGATTCAGAAGAGCTGTTCAGAAGTGAAGAAGCTGATCAGAGGTTCAGTATAAGCTGAGTATAAGCTGTTGATTGCTTTGAACTTGCCTTGTCATTGCTGCATCAGCTCCGCTTGGTCTCTGTGAAAGTGCATTGACATGGTAATGCAATCCCGGCCAAGTGAAATCAAGAACTTCAAGAATGGAATCCCGGATTGCAGCAGTAGGGACCAGGTCACTCAGTAACTGAAGGTAAGGCAACAACTCGTAACCAGAATCCGTTTGATTCGTCTAGCCAAGGAGCAGAAATGCAACGTCACCAGCGATACACAAGGCACGGGTACTGACACGTCTGAGACGACACTTGAGCCGGCAATCTTGCATTCAAAGTCTCAAACCAACCGGCTCAAAATGCAACTGCAAACTTGATTGTAGAGACACGAGATTGCTTCGCAGCAAGTCTGGCTTTGGAATGAGCCGATTGGCTGAAGCTCAAGAACTGACTTAGAGCTTCAGTCACGCCAGGCGTGACAGGAATGAGAAAGGTTGGACAAGAATCGACTTGTCTAACGAGCAACGCAATCACTCTGCAGTTCCGCCAGTTTCTTGTCTCAGACGAAAGGCTTCGATGGTCTCAGGGAAATTCTCTTCTATGTGCAAATAACAGGACAATCCAACGACAATTTGAAAACTGCGAAACCCGACTGCCCCCCGTCGTCAATCAGGGAACGGGGAATACGAAGATGGAGGAAAGAGTGGTAAGGCATGGGTAAGCTCGCACAGAAACTGCGATGATGTGACGCATGGTGCACCACAGGACGTAAGCATTTTCTTTCTAGCCAGTCTCGAAAGCAGCGGTTCTTGAGACTCTAGCGTTCCGCCCCATGAGTTCATCATCCCAAAGAGGGCTCAGTAGTCCTGTTAGTCCTTTCAGTCGACTAGCATCTATAGGTCACAGCGACGGCGACAGCGAAGTTCTCGAGACGAAAGGCTAATCGGTGACTGCTTCCTGTCAGCTAAAGCTAAGTTATCTTGACTGATGTGTTGCGTGCTCTTCAATGCCTCGAGCTTGTCGCTGTCCCTGCGAAATTGTGAATGACTGGCGGCTGTCAGCGCTATGGCTTCCGCTCCGCCTGCTCCGCTGCAGTTCGTACTACTACTGAAACTTGAACTCGGCCTGTGTTTGGCCTGTCTCACGACAATCCCAACGGCGTGATGTAAGACTTCACTGCGGTTTAAAAGGTTCTTCTGCGCTCTAAACTGGTTCATCTTTCCTTATCAACGGTTGGGTAAGGTCTTGAATACATGCGAAACTGCCAAATGACACCCCCGATAGAGTCTGCAAGACGCGGAAGTGCGTAGAAGATCTACACCAACAAGCTTACATTCAAAGTATTTATTTTTCCCGCATGGGCATGGCTTTGCCAATTCCTTTCTCAACAGAACACGCTCAAAGTGTATTTTGGCGCACTTACAGCAACTCTTTTAACTACTCTTAATATCATACCTTCCCAGCCAACATTTTTATGCATCATCAGTCCGGGGATAAAACCCATTCACAGTGAAAGCACCGTCGACAGCCAACACCTGCCCCGACACATAGGAAGCAGCAGGCATGCACATGAACGCCACAGCTGCTGCTGCCTCCTGGGGCTCCCCCACTCTCCTCAAGGGCGTCCGACTGATGACGTCAGCAGAAAACGCCTCATCCTTGAGCACCTGAGTGGGGAGGGGACCATGTTGAGAGGTTAAAATGCTAATGGTGAGTCAACTTGAGACACATCCTTGAGACATGGAGGAAGCAGCCGGCATGCACATGAACGCCACAGCTGCTGCTGCCTCCTGGGGCTCCCCCACTCTCCTCAAGGGCGTCCGACTGATGACGTCAGCAGAGAACGTCTCATCCTTGAGCACCTGTGGGAAGAGTGGTTTGGGAGAAAGAACAAGAATTGTGGTTTCTCAATGGCCGTTGCAGTAGGGGGGGGTGGGGAACGAGAGAGAGGGACTGGGGGAAAATAATTGGCGGAGCTGGTTAGTCCAGTGGAAGGGGGAGGGGGGGCAAGCACATGAACGCCACAGCTGCTGCTGCGTCCTGAGGCTCCCCCACCCTCCGCATCGGCGTTCGACTGATGACATCAGCAGAGAACGCCTCGTCCTTGAGCACCTGGGGAAGAGTGGTTTGGGAAAAAAAAAAAAAAAAAAAAAAAAAAAATGTCAAGTGTGGTTTCTCATCGGCTGATGCAATAGGGAGGGGTGGGGAAGGAGGAACTGGGACTGGGGGAAGGATAACAGGGGGGAACTGGTTGAGGGGGAGGGACCGGCAGGCCCATGAACGCCACAGCAGCTGCGGCGTCTGACATCAGCAGAAAACGCTTCACCCTTGAACACTTATGAGAATTGTCCTGCAACAAACTGAAGAAGAGTTCGCAGAGGAGGAGCCCCGTAGAGGGCGATGAGGGCGATGGCTTGGAAAATGGTTTTGCTCTGTACGATTCTGCAGCAGTGACGCCAACATGGCCGATTCTGAAACCTGCAGCACGAGCAGCGGCTTGTCTGGCAGCAGCTGCAGCGGCAGCTGGACAAGCCACTGGAGCTCTGTTACTGCAGCTGCTACCAGACAAGCCACTGCTCGTGCTGCAAGTTTTAGAACCGACCATGTTGGCGTCATTGCTGCAGATGCTGTCATGTTAGAACAGACCAGAACCATTTTCCAAGCCATCGCCCTCTGAAGCCTCAAACAACGAGTGTGCCTCCTCTGCGAACTCTTCTTCAGGTTGTTGCACTTTGTGGTCCTCATAAGACATGTGAGGAGAATTCTCGTGCGAACTCTTCTCGGTTTGTTCGCGGATCGATTCTTGAGAAAACGCTTCATCCTTGAACATCTAGGTGGGGATAATGTCGAGAGGATCAACGGTTTAGAGACACCTCAAAACATGAGGATCAATGGTATGTTCTAGTCCAACTTATATACGGATTCAACCTGGAGAAAACGCTTTATCCTTGAGCACCTGAGTGGGGTGGGGAGAATGTTGAGAAAACGGATTGTTTTTGTACGGATAATAGAGGACTACTATTATAAAGCCTGCACATATATGATCGTTGAGTGTGGTTTCTCATTGACCGTTGCAATAGGGAGATTTGGGATAGGAGAGACCAGGACCAGGGGGAAATAACAAGGGGAACTGGTCGGCCGGCTGGAAGGGCGAGGGGTTGCTTATTAGACTTGTTACCTGGTTGGCGAGGTCTGTTGCCATGCACATGTGACAAAAGAGATGTTCTGAAATGTCTCAAATCATCGTTATTACCCATTGGAAGTGTGAGCAGGTGCTTATCAGACATGGTTCCTGGTTGGCGAGGTCTGTTGCCATGTACCAGGGCGCCACTGCATTCACCCGGATGCCATCCTTGCTTGACCCACTCAGCAGCAAGAGGTGCGATTAAATGGGTGGTTCTTATACATGGTTACCTGGTTACCCTCATTACCTGGTTGGCGAGGTCTGTTGCCATGTACCACGGCGCCACTGCATTCACTCGGATGCCATCTTTGGCCCACTCGCACGCCAGGTTCTTGGTCAGCTGATTCATGGCGGCTGGTTGGCGGGGTTGAAGAGGGTTGTAAGTGCAGCAGGGAAGACAAGGTGAGGGCAGGAGAAGAGAGGGTGCGGGTGGGGTCACGTGGTTGTGAGGGCACTGCATTCACTCGGATGCCATCCTTGGCCCACTCGCACGCCAGGTTCTTGGTCAGTTGGTTCATGGCGGCTGGTTGGGGGGGTTGAAGAGGGTTGTAAGTGCAGCAGGGAAGCCAAGGTGAGGGCAGGAGAAGAGAGGGTGCGGGTGGGGTCACGTGGTTGTGAGGGCACTGAATTCACTCGGATGCCATCCTTGGCCCACTCGCACGCCAGGTTCTTGGTCAGTTGGTTCATGGCGGCTGGTTGGGGGGGTTGAAGAGGGTTGTAAGTGCAGCAGGGAAGCCAAGGTGAGGGCAGGAGAAGAGAGGGTGCGGGTGGGGTCACGTGGTTGTGAGGGCACTGCATTCACTCGGATGCCATCCTTGGCCCACTCGCACGCCAGGTTCTTGGTCAGTTGGTTCATGGCGGCTGGTTGGGGGGGTTGAAGAGGGTTGTAAGTGCAGCAGGGAAGCCAAGGTGAGGGCAGGAGAAGAGAGGGTGCGGGTGGGGTCACGTGGTTGTGAGGGCACTGAATTCACTCGGATGCCATCCTTGGCCCACTCGCACGCCAGGTTCTTGGTCAGTTGGTTCATGGCGGCTGGTTGGGGGGGTTGAAGAGGGTTGTAAGTGCAGCAGGGAAGCCAAGGTGAGGGCAGGAGAAGAGAGGGTGCGGGTGGGGTCACGTGGTTGTGAGGGCACTGAATTCACTCGGATGCCATCCTTGGCCCACTCGCACGCCAGGTTCTTGGTCAGTTGGTTCATGGCGGCTGGTTGGGGGGGTTGAAGAGGGTTGTAAGTGCAGCAGGGAAGCCAAGGTGAGGGCAGGAGAAGAGAGGGTGCGGGTGGGGTCACGTGGTTGTGAGGGCACTGAATTCACTCGGATGCCATCCTTGGCCCACTCGCACGCCAGGTTCTTGGTCAGTTGGTTCATGGCGGCTGGTTGGGGGGGTTGAAGAGGGTTGTAAGTGCAGCAGGGAAGACAAGGTGAGGGCAGGAGAAGAGAGGGTGCGGGTGGGGTCACGTGGTTGTGAGGGCACTGAATTCACTCGGATGCCATCCTTGGCCCACTCGCACGCCAGGTTCTTGGTCAGTTGGTTCATGGCGGCTGGTTGGGGGGGTTGAAGAGGGTTGTAAGTGCAGCAGGGAAGCCAAGGTGAGGGCAGGAGAAGAGAGGGTGCGGGTGGGGTCACGTGGTTGTGAGGGCACTGAATTCACTCGGATGCCATCCTTGGCCCACTCGCACGCCAGGTTCTTGGTCAATTGGTTCATGGCGGCTGGTTGGGGGGGTTGAAGAGGGTTGTAAGTGCAGCAGGGAAGCCAAGGTGAGGGCAGGAGAAGAGAGGGTGCGGGTGGGGTCACGTGGTTGTGAGGGCACTGAATTCACTCGGATGCCATCCTTGGCCCACTCGCACGCCAGGTTCTTGGTCAGTTGGTTCATGGCGGCTGGTTGGGGGGGTTGAAGAGGGTTGTAAGTGCAGCAGGGAAGACAAGGTGAGGGCAGGAGAAGAGAGGGTGCGGGTGGGGTCACGTGGTTGTGAGGGCACTGAATTCACTCGGATGCCATCCTTGGCCCACTCGCACGCCAGGTTCTTGGTCAGTTGGTTCATGGCGGCTGGTTGGGGGGGTTGAAGAGGGTTGTAAGTGCAGCAGGGAAGCCAAGGTGAGGGCAGGAGAAGAGAGGGTGCGGGTGGGGTCACGTGGTTGTGAGGGCACTGAATTCACTCGGATGCCATCCTTGGCCCACTCGCACGCCAGGTTCTTGGTCAGTTGGTTCATGGCGGCTGGTTGGGGGGGTTGAAGAGGGTTGTAAGTGCAGCAGGGAAGCCAAGGTGAGGGCAGGAGAAGAGAGGGTGCGGGTGGGGTCACGTGGTTGTGAGGGCACTGAATTCACTCGGATGCCATCCTTGGCCCACTCGCACGCCAGGTTCTTGGTCAGTTGGTTCATGGCGGCTGGTTGGGGGGGTTGAAGAGGGTTGTAAGTGCAGCAGGGAAGCCAAGGTGAGGGCAGGAGAAGAGAGGGTGCGGGTGGGGTCACGTGGTTGTGAGGGCACTGAATTCACTCGGATGCCATCCTTGGCCCACTCGCACGCCAGGTTCTTGGTCAGTTGGTTCATGGCGGCTGGTTGGGGGGGTTGAAGAGGGTTGTAAGTGCAGCAGGGAAGCCAAGGTGAGGGCAGGAGAAGAGAGGGTGCGGGTGGGGTCACGTGGTTGTGAGGGCACTGAATTCACTCGGATGCCATCCTTGGTCCACTCGCACGCCAGGTTCTTGGTCAGTTGGTTCATGGCGGCTGGTTGGGGGGGTTGAAGAGGGTTGTAAGTGCAGCAGGGAAGCCAAGGTGAGGGCAGGAGAAGAGAGGGTGCGGGTGGGGTCACGTGGTTGTGAGGGCACTGAATTCACTCGGATGCCATCCTTGGCCCACTCGCACGCCAGGTTCTTGGTCAGTTGGTTCATGGCGGCTGGTTGGGGGGGTTGAAGAGGGTTGTAAGTGCAGCAGGGAAGCCAAGGTGAGGGCAGGAGAAGAGAGGGTGCGGGTGGGGTCACGTGGTTGTGAGGGCACTGAATTCACTCGGATGCCATCCTTGGCCCACTCGCACGCCAGGTTCTTGGTCAGTTGGTTCATGGCGGCTGGTTGGGGGGGTTGAAGAGGGTTGTAAGTGCAGCAGGGAAGCCAAGGTGAGGGCAGGAGAAGAGAGGGTGCGGGTGGGGTCACGTGGTTTTGAGGGCACTGAATTCACTCGGATGCCATCCTTGGCCCACTCGCACGCCAGGTTCTTGGTCAGTTGGTTCATGGCGGCTGGTTGGGGGGGTTGAAGAGGGTTGTAAGTGCAGCAGGGAAGCCAAGGTGAGGGCAGGAGAAGAGAGGGTGCGGGTGGGGTCACGTGGTTGTGAGGGCACTGAATTCACTCGGATGCCATCCTTGGCCCACTCGCACGCCAGGTTCTTGGTCAGTTGGTTCATGGCGGCTGGTTGGGGGGGTTGAAGAGGGTTGTAAGTGCAGCAGGGAAGCCAAGGTGAGGGCAGGAGAAGAGAGGGTGCGGGTGGGGTCACGTGGTTGTGAGGGCACTGAATTCACTCGGATGCCATCCTTGGCCCACTCGCACGCCAGGTTCTTGGTCAGTTGGTTCATGGCGGCTGGTTGGGGGGGTTGAAGAGGGTTGTAAGTGCAGCAGGGAAGCCAAGGTGAGGGCAGGAGAAGAGAGGGTGCGGGTGGGGTCACGTGGTTGTGAGGGCACTGCATTCACTCGGATGCCATCCTTGGCCCACTCGCACGCCAGGTTCTTGGTCAGTTGGTTCATGGCGGCTGGTTGGGGGGGTTGAAGAGGGTTGTAAGTGCAGCAGGGAAGCCAAGGTGAGGGCAGGAGAAGAGAGGGTGCGGGTGGGGTCACGTGGTTGTGAGGGCACTGAATTCACTCGGATGCCATCCTTGGCCCACTCGCACGCCAGGTTCTTGGTCAGTTGGTTCATGGCGGCTGGTTGGGGGGGTTGAAGAGGGTTGTAAGTGCAGCAGGGAAGCCAAGGTGAGGGCAGGAGAAGAGAGGGTGCGGGTGGGGTCACGTGGTTGTGAGGGCACTGAATTCACTCGGATGCCATCGTTGGCCCACTCGCACGCCAGGTTCTTGGTCAGTTGGTTCATGGCGGCTGGTTGGGGGGGTTGAAGAGGGTTGTAAGTGCAGCAGGGAAGCCAAGGTGAGGGCAGGAGAAGAGAGGGTGCGGGTGGGGTCACGTGGTTGTGAGGGCACTGAATTCACTCGGATGCCATCCTTGGCCCACTCGCACGCCAGGTTCTTGGTCAGTTGGTTCATGGCGGCTGGTTGGGGGGGTTGAAGAGGGTTGTAAGTGCAGCAGGGAAGCCAAGGTGAGGGCAGGAGAAGAGAGGGTGCGGGTGGGGTCACGTGGTTGTGAGGGCACTGAATTCACTCGGATGCCATCCTTGGCCCACTCGCACGCCAGGTTCTTGGTCAGTTGGTTCATGGCGGCTGGTTGGGGGGGTTGAAGAGGGTTGTAAGTGCAGCAGGGAAGCCAAGGTGAGGGCAGGAGAAGAGAGGGTGCGGGTGGGGTCACGTGGTTGTGAGGGCACTGAATTCACTCGGATGCCATCCTTGGCCCACTCGCACGCCAGGTTCTTGGTCAGTTGGTTCATGGCGGCTGGTTGGGGGGGTTGAAGAGGGTTGTAAGTGCAGCAGGGAAGCCAAGGTGAGGGCAGGAGAAGAGAGGGTGCGGGTGGGGTCACGTGGTTGTGAGGGCACTGAATTCACTCGGATGCCATCCTTGGCCCACTCGCACGCCAGGTTCTTGGTCAGTTGGTTCATGGCGGCTGGTTGGGGGGGTTGAAGAGGGTTGTAAGTGCAGCAGGGAAGCCAAGGTGAGGGCAGGAGAAGAGAGGGTGCGGGTGGGGTCACGTGGTTGTGAGGGCACTGAATTCACTCGGATGCCATCCTTGGCCCACTCGCACGCCAGGTTCTTGGTCAGTTGGTTCATGGCGGCTGGTTGGGGGGGTTGAAGAGGGTTGTAAGTGCAGCAGGGAAGCCAAGGTGAGGGCAGGAGAAGAGAGGGTGCGGGTGGGGTCACGTGGTTGTGAGGGCACTGCATTCACTCGGATGCCATCCTTAGCCCATTTGCACGCCAGGTTCTTGGTCAGCTGGTTCATGGCGGCTGGTTGGAGGGGTTGAAGAGGGGTAGAAGGGAGGGAGGAAGAGAGACATTGTGAGGTCAGGATGAGGGGGTGTGGTTGGGGTGACGAGATTGTGAGGCCACTGCATTCACCCAGATGCCATCCTGGGCCCATTCACACGCCAGGTTGGGCGAGTTAGCAGAGGTGGTAGGCGGAAAAAAAAGTATAGTTTTGAGGCGCCTCAAAACTCGCCAGGTTGGGCGAGTTAGCAAAGGTGGTAGGCGGAAAAAAAAAAAACGACGAGTAGCAGCACTGAGATCAGTACAGTCGGTGAGTCACCGTTGAGTGGGCGACTGACCTTTGGTGGCGCCGTAGAGAGTGTGCCTGACCGAACAGCAACCACCCCGGCTACAAACGAGTTGAACACAATGCTCGCATTGCCCTTCACTCCACTGCTAACATCAGCACTTCCAGGAAGGAATTCCATCAGCAGCAGCAACACCTCTGCTATCACTAGAAAGGGCGACTCACCCTTAGTGGCGCCATAAAGAGTGCCTGACCGAATAGCAACGACCCCGGCTACAGATGAGTTGAACACAATGCTCGCATTGCCCTTCACTCCACCATCAGCAGCGGCAGCCGCAGCTTTCAGCAGAGGGTGGGCGAGTTGGCAGAGGTGGTAGGCGGACTCAAAATTGGTGCCCCACACGTGGTGGAAGTCGGCTAGAGAGTACTCGGTTGTCGGCTTGCGAATGTTGGTGCCCACGTTGTTGATCTGTGGGTATAGAAAAAGAGGGACGGGAATGCGCAAGGTTGGAAGGGACGGATGAGATGGGAGCGAGCTGGCAGAGGTGGTAGGCGGACTCGAAATTGGTGCCCCACACGTGGTGGAAGTCAGAAAGGGAGTAATCGACTGTGGGCTTGCGAATGTTAGTGCCCACGTTGTTGATCTGCGGGTGTTAGGAAGGATGCCAGGATGCAGTAGGGAACGAGAACGGGGATAGTTAGGGTTGGCAGGGGTGGTAGGCGGATTCAAAGTTGGTGCCCCACACGTGGTGGAAGTCTGAAAGGGAATAGTCGACTGTGGGCTTCTGACTGTTGGTGCCCACGTTGTTGACCTGCACAGGGAGGAGGAGGGAAGGGGGAAGGATGGGAATGGTCATGGGAATAAGAGCGAGTTGGAAAAGGTGGTAGGCGGATTCAAAGTTGGTGCACCACACGTGGTGAAAGTCAGCTAGAGAGTAGTCAATCGAAGAGGAGGAGGATCTTGCTAGTTCTGAGCTTGCAACAGAAGAACAGGTGCCCGCATACTCATAGCTCTTCATCCCGTAAACTCTCATTCACAAGTAAAATGATGCACAAGGGTTTTACTTGTGAATGGGAGTTTACGGGATGAAGAGCTACGAGTATGCGGGCACATGTTCCTCTGTTGCAGCTAAGAAGCAACACGCTCCTCCTACTCCTCCTCTTTTGACGTTGGTGAGAAGTGGGAAGGCATAAACACCACCTTTTGGTGAGAGGTGGGTTGGAGCAGAAGCAGCATCAACAACGCCTCTGATGCTCCCGCGCAGCCCTCTCTGCCCCGAATGCGCATTCTTCGTCGGGAGACAATAGGCATCCCACCTACACCCTGGCGCACGGATGCCTTCCCAGCCCCAATCATTGCCCGAGAGGGTGCCGCTCCAACAGGCAACTGTGGGGGCATCCCCTTGCTGCACTGTAGCTTCGCTACTGTAGCTGCCATCACACGACCACCCCGTCCCACCTTCCGCCTAATACAGGGGTTTGGGAAAATATCCCACCGCCAACTAATCAGGTGCACTGACTAATAAAAAACCGCCCGCAGACAACCGCCGGCCTACGTACCAGGTGGTTCAGTTTCCCGCCAAAAGCCTCTGACACCTTCGTTATAAGCACCTCCCGCTGCTCCGGCTCCTTGACATCGCACGCCCACCCCGTCGCCGCCCACCCCTGCGACTGTAGCTCCGCCACTGTAGCTGCCACGTCAGCCTCGCCACGTGAGCATACAAACACGTGCGCGCCCAGAGATGCTAGCTCGTTTGCAATAGCACGACTGATGAAGAGGGGAGGCACGCGGAAGGAGGGGGGGGGGGGGGGAGAGGACAGGGGGGATGGGAGGGGGGGGAGGGAGAGGACAGGGGGATGGGAGGGGGGGGAGGGAGAGGACAGGGGGATGGGAGGGGGGGGAGGGAGAGGACAGGGGGATGGGAGGGGGGGGAGGGAGAGGACAGGGGGATGGGAGGGGGGGGAGGGAGAGGACAGGGGGATGGGAGGGGGGGGAGGGAGAGGACAGGGGGATGGGAGGGGGGGGAGGGAGAGGACAGGGGGATGGGAGGGGGAGCGGGAGGGGAAGGAGGGTGGATTGTGTGGGTTTGGGTCAGACTCGAGAGTCAGCCTTGCCACGTGGGCACACAAACACGTGCGCGCCCAGAGATACGAGTCCCCGTGAGATAACGGGACTGATGGGGGAAAGGGAGGCGGAATGTGGGGAAGGGGGGGGGGGGGCGGAGGGTGGAGAAAGGAGGGGGAAAGGGAGAGGGGGGAAAGGTGGGAAGGAGATGAATGGGACGGCGGCAAGAATGAACAGGGTACGCTTTTGAGCCAGAATCAAACCCAAAGGATTCAGTGGAAGGGACGGATTCCGTCACGAGGGTGTGAAGCGGGCGAAATTCTTCACGAGGGAGTGAATCGATCGGACGGATTCCGTCATGAGTGCGAAATGGACGGATTCCGTCACGAGGGTGTCAAGAATACAGAAAGAATGAAACGAGAGCCTAGATATCATCGTGTCGTGTGGTTACCCGATGCCTTTGGTCGCGCCCGTTACAAGAGCCGTCTGGCCGTCAAGTCTCCATCGAGCCGCCGCCATAACGGATTCAGGCGAGAATTGACGAATTGTAAACGCACGTGAAGATTAGGCACTTCTGTAACGGCTGACGCACTGGGAAGCAGCAGCCGTCACTGCTGCATTCAGGATTGGAACGACCCACTGCTAAATTATTTTCTCTTGCAAGCGAGATTCGTGTCGGTAAGACCGACTGCTCGTTGTCAAATAACTTCTATGTCAGGGAGTTTCAGGAAGGCTCAATTTGGTTGGGTTGTGAACGCTTTCACGTGTTTCACGTGTTTCAGAACCTCAAACAGGGTGTATCCTCTGGAATCTCAGGTTTGAGGCTCCCTCTCGCTTCAAACGAGTATGCGAGCAAACGCAACCAAGCAGAGCAAAATTCCGTTTTGGTTACCACTTCTCACGGACCTCAAGACCCTATCTAAACGTTCTAAACCACTCGAATAACCTTCTGTAACACTAAGAACCCTATGAACCGCATTCACAGTTGCATTCAAAGCATCTCAAGATGGTTTGGTTCGGTGGAAGGGAGTGCTACCCTCCACCATGGATATGAACTTGCCTTGCTTGCTGCACAGCACACAACTTTCAGTTGCGTTGAGCAGCAGAATAATCAAAGCTTGTGCTTCTGCTGCTCCATAGACCAGACCGGAACCGCGTTTTGACGATTTTCAAAGGTCAGTCTAGAGTTTTCAGAAGCGTTTTAAACAGGTCTCTAGCAGCGCGCTTCGCCTCGCTACTACACACTGCTCAGGCCCGAGACCGCGTTTTGACGATACTCGAGGGTCTGTCTGTAGAGGTCTCACACGTGTTTCAACAGGTCTCTCGCAGCGCGCTTCGTCTCGCTCTTACACACGTCCGAACGTCAGTTTGTGGAAAGTTTTCTCCTTGCGTTTGGTTTCACGCCGCGTAATTCTTCCTATCTCCGCTCGAAGATCGAACCGCGATCATCATTATCACAATCTCCAAACGCGCAGCGAAAAAAGGAATAATCTCTGTGGACCTAGGCTCCTCATCTTTAGTACCTCCCCACCTTACGGCTAGTATATCACCTAGTGATAGCGGATTGGCTGTACCTAGTATTATCCCCGTTAAGAAGTCCGTACCGAGCTACTAACGAGCATGGCGTCGGACGGACACCCTACGGAGAACCTAACAGACCTCTTACGCTCCCTGGAGAACTATGATCCTCTGGTGAGTGCATTGATGCGTTGTAAGCGTCTTCTTATGCCTTCTTCCCTTGAGGAATCTAGAGAACTTCGACCTGCTGGTTAGTGTGCTGATGCGCTGTACTTGTCTTCTTAGGCCGTATTGCATTGAGGCGGCTAAAAATATAGCATCATTTTCTGGAGAACCTACCAACGGTTTAAATCGCTCGGGAGAGCTATGACCCGTTCCAGTCGTTTTCTCCTTTTCCCCGTTCCCATTCCTTCAGATTTCCAACTACCTGACTGACTGCATACTATTTGCAGAGATTGGCGCCAGAAATCCCAACGTTCACGTGCGCGTTCAGGATAGTAATGACCTGCTCCCGCTTCCTCCTTTTCCCCGTTCCCACTCCTTTCAGATTCCTGACGACCTGACTGCATACTATCTGCAAAATTCAGGCGTCCGAAACCCCAACGTCCACGTGTAAGTGTATCGAATCACACAAACAACACAAATTCGTCGTTTATCAAAGGCTGTCAAGGAAGTTCAAAATTGTTCTCTATTGATTTTTCTCATGCCTATTCTATCCCTTCTCTCCCATCTCCTCCTACCCCTTCTCTTGCTCTCGTCTCCTCCGTTTCTCCCACCCATATTGGCTCTGTGCATGCATGCGTACCAGCACTCGCCTTGTATCAGCTGCGGTTCATAAGCTCATAGGAGAGATGGCCAGTGACGCTGTTTTAATATTTTCCCCTCCCTCCCCTCCCCCCTTACCCCTTTCCCCCCTCTGATACAAGTTCAGAGGAGCACAAGTTCATACGAGAGGTGGCCAATAAGCTGTCTCAAACTCCTCCGCTTCCTCCCTCTCTCCCCCCTCTCCGCACCCCCACCCCCCCCCCCCCCCCCCACCCACCCACCTCGTTCTGTGCACGCATGTCACCAGCACTCGCCTTGTGTCAGCTGCGGCGCATAAGTTCATAGGGGAGGTAGCCAGTGACGCTCTACAGTAAGTTTATGATGCGCACAGTAGGCTTATGATGTGCTACAGTAAGTTTATGTGTGCTGCAGTAGGTTTACATGATGCATTACAGTAAGTTTATAATGCGCTACAGTATAGCTTATGATGCGCGACAGTAAATTTACAATGTTTTAGAGTAAGTTAATGTGCGCTACAGTAAGTTCGTGCGCATGTGCCACTTCCTTTCTCAAGCAAGTTAAATGGCATATCAATGCTGTCACACTCCTCCTCAAACCCCCCCCTCCCCTCTTTCTCTCTTTTCTCCGCTGCCTCCGTCCCTTCCTCCCCCCTCTCTTCCCCCTTTTTCCCCCTTTCTCTCCCCCCCCTCCCCTCGTTCTCCCCCCTTCCTCCCCCTTACCCTTTTCAGGTTCTGCAAGATCCGGCAGGCGGGCAGTGGCAAGGAGATGAAGTCGAGTGTTGGGGCTGATGCTGCCCCTCAACCCTGCCCCACTGCACCCTCCCCATTCCTTCTCCCCCCTCCCCCCGTTCCCTTTCAGGTTCTGCAAGATCCGGCAGGCGAACAGCGGCAAGGAGATGAAGGCGAAAGGGCCCAAGGAGAAGAAGCTTGTACTCACTACAGAGGACCTCGCTGCTGCATTGAAGGAGGTGAGTTCATACTTAATGGCAACATATAGCTTCATTGCAAGGTTGGAGTAAGGACCTGTGGTGTAGGTAGGTATTTGGTCCTTCATGTTTACTTCCCCCACTGAAACGTGTGTTTGCTCTGTCCGCTTGCTTTTGTGTGTGTGTGTGTGTGTGTGTGTGTGTGTGTGTGTGTGTGTGTGTGTGTGTGTGTGTGTCTGTGTGTGTGTGTGTGTGTTTGTGTGTGTCCGTGTCTGTGTCTCTGTCTGTGTTTGTGTCTGTGTCTGTGTCTGTGTCTGTGTCTGTGTCTGTGTCTGTGTCTGTCTTTTATCGTTCTCCATCTGTTGATGTGATATCCGTTGTCATTCTTTACAGTATGGTGTGAATGTGCGGAAACAAGACTACTTTGTGGATGGACCAACTCCAGTTGTAGGGAGAACAGGCAAGCACTGATGGTGTATGTAAACACCTATACTGGGTTGCAGTTTATTAACATAATTTTATTGATCTGGTTTATGATGGGTTTTGTAGTTCGGTATTTCAAATACTGCTTGTATGCATTTGAAGTAGGAACAGTGTCAGAAATCATAGCCTTCCTGTTAATTTCCGTTCAAAGCACGTTAAGCAGTCGCTTTTGATTGCAAGCTAACTGTATAAAGGCAGCCACACTTACGTTGTTGCGAGTCATCCTGTACTGGAATACCGGTAGCATTTCCGGGAAAATATGCCACACGTAACGAACATGGGACCCGATAACGTGAATGGTACAAAAAAAAACGTGTACGGTCACTGTATCGGGTTTCCTGACGGGTCTGGTAAGTGGGGTCACGGATTCAGTCACTAACAACAGGTAAAAAATCACGCGAATGGTCACACATGTAACTCCCGCCAAAAAATCTTGAAACTCTACAATATTCCCCGCTCGCGTCCAACGAATCAGCTAACTTCTGGAAAAACTAAACCCAATCGGAATAGAATGCGGTTTGGGAACGGATCAACCCTAAACACCTGGCGAATTGTGTTCAGGGCTGATTCATCCGAAAAATGCATCCAGGTTCGTTTTGGGTATTATCTTTTTTGGGCGGGAGTTTCATCTGTGACCATTCGCGTTATTTTTTCCCAGTTGATTGTGACTGATTCCGTGAAACGTTTTATCAAAAACGTGAGAACACCCTTTCCAGTGACCGTACCCGTTATTTATTTACCAAACAAATTATCGAGACCCTTGTTGATTACGTGTGGCATATTTTCCCAGCATTTCCTTCTGACAGCAGCAGACAAGAATCTATGAGCCCAGGTTGGCTGGGGGGGACAGAGCAGTTTTGATAATTAGGCGGCAGAACCAAGGTATGGTGGGTAACGGAGCCGCGTGTCGTCCTTTTCCTCCAGGCATGCATGTCATTTAGCATAGAATAATCTCGCTCGAGTAGCATATGAGCATGTCAATTCGCATTTGACCATGTGATGTTTGCGTGCTGTTTCGATTTCGAGAATCTCGAGCCACGCTGTACATTCATGAACCACTAATGTCGGTTCGAGCCGTCGTCGTGACTCGTGACTCGTGATTCGTCGCGGCTGACCAGGTGTTCAAAACAACCAATCGAGTTCCTGGCGACGCGATCAGCTCTGCTTCTTAGAACCCGAGTTTCGTCGTGCGACGCGTGCGACCCACGCAAGAATCCAGGCGACATAGACACTGCTGCGCGTACGCGCACGCGCACGCCGCTCCTTGGCGCTTCCCAGACCCCTCTGCTAGGTAGTTCTGTCCCCCTTCCCCCCCACTTACCCTGTTCCGCTCACCGCCCGTACCTGCGCACTGCCCCACTCCCGCGGCTTTTCCCAACCATTTCCGCCGAAACTTTCACCCCCTCCCTCCCCTCCCCGAAAAGTCGCTATCAGTAATTGACTTGCTGCTGCTTTCCGGCTATCAAGCGATTATCCCAAGGCTAAGCAAAAGTACAGCACTGTATACAGACGATAATCCCAACGGCAGGAAACAGTATAGTATTGTGCATAGATTTGGATCCAGCGTGGCACAAAGGCGACGAACGGTTGCAATGCGAGTTTGCCCTAGAGGAGTGATGGATCCAGAGTTGGAAGCATGGCCCTAAATCACGTGGCTGACTGACGCGCTGCTGCGATTGTCCGCGTCTCCGGCGTTCCAGCAAGAGCGACTGTAGCGAGCGTCGGGTGTTCGGCATAAGCGAAACAGTGCAAGGGGAATGCCGCTGCCTGTTGATTCCTCGACTGGTCCCTGGGTACGCTGAATTCGCTTTGCCATTTTGCCTCACCATTCTTAGATGTTCCGCCATTCTTAACAGCTCCGCATTCGTAGCTTCAAGATCTGTTTATACTCAAATGCTTAGCTTCAAAATTCTTTGCTTCTCACTTAGCTGTGGACTGGAACCCATGGATCATCCATTGTAAGCCCTGGAATCCATGGTTCATCAATTTTAAGCCTTGGAACCTTGTAAGGGATGGATTTCGAACCTCGAATCTCAATAAACCTTTGCGACTGATTCGTCATTCTTAGCGTTTGAGCCGTTATTTTTTCCCTCGGTAGCTGTTGGTAGCTCTTCTATAGCCGGAGCGCCTAGAGCTTACCATTTCATGGGCTTTCAGCAACATCACACCACAACAGCCGTAAACCTTCTGGTCCGCCTCAGAGCCTATGAGTTGGCAGATTTTGCGACAGGCGTTCTTAAGAGACGCCATCTCCCTTCGGATTAGATTCCACCTTGCTGTCTCATTTGTTTCCGCTCTCGGTGTGAACGATCCTTGAATGACTCTCACAATCGGAGCTTCTCTGATTCCATTCACGTTGGTCCGAGTCTCTCTATCTATCTAATCCCCAGATTATAGCCATTTATCTGATTCCAGCCAATCCCTAAATTCTCAACCGAGCCGAACCCCGTCCATGCGGCAATGCCCTGTTCTTGTAGCTGCCATTTCTTGGACCTGTTCGTGTTGTTTGTTACGAGTCATTTTACAACACGTGGTGTTATTAATCGACTCAAAATGCGTATGTTCCTGTTGTAAATTGCCAGGTGGAGATGTGCGAGAGAGGTGCAGCACAGGAGGGTGGTGTGACAGAGGAGAGAAGAGAAGGAGGAGAGGGAGCAGATGCTGAGAAAGGGGGGGAGACAGTGGAGAAGCAACAGCAGGAGGAGAGGGAGAAGGGTGTTGAAAATGAGGCTGATATCGACGAAAATAATGGCAGTAGGGAGGAGTATTACCGTTACAATGATGGTGCTGCTGACGAGGCTGATGTGGATGATCAGAATGATGATGAAGAAGATGAGGGGGAGGAGGATGCAGATGCGGACGAGGTGTTGACAGTTGACGATGCCATTGATTCCATAGGTGAGCCTCTGCTAAGAGTCGTAATAAACTCAAATATATGCAAGCAGTCCTTTCTCCTGTTGAGGAGAATGGAGATGCAGACGAGGTGTTGACGGTTGACGATGCCTTTGATTCCATTTAGGTGAGCTTTTTTTCAGTGCCCTAACTGTATCGAATTTGTGCTAGCTGTTGCTTTAGGGTTCGAAATCTCGCCCCAGGTGATGGGGATGGAGGATACTTTTCGAGGCGCCTCAAAAGCCGCCCAAATGTTTTTGAAATACCAAAGATCGCTCCCCAAGTTGAGATTTTGCTCAATGTCGTTCCATGCTCCAGTAACCTTTCCGCGCGTTTCCTCTCTGTCTCACCACCTGTCCTCTCCCCTCTCACTCATTCCCTTCCTCTTCCCCTCTTCCCCTCCTCCCCCCGTTAACCCCCACCAGGATTCGGACCCTACCAGCTCTTCCTCGTGTGTTACACTGGCCTTGCATGACTCATAGAGAGTTTATAAGTTACCCCCCCATCCTCTTCCCCTCACCAGGATCCGGACCTTACCAGCTCTTCCTCGTGTGACACTGGCCTCGCCTGGCTAGCTGACGCCATGGAGATGATTCTTTCTCCCTTCAACTCCCTCTCCCCTGTCATTCTCTCGTTTCTTTTCCCCATCCTCACACCTACCAGGCTTCGGCCCCTACCAGCTCTTCCTCGTGTGACACTGGCCTCGCCTGGCTAGCTGACGCCATGGATGGAGATACTCTTTCCTTCATTTCACTCTCTCCCCTCTCTCCCTTCACCAGGCTTCGGCCCTTACCAGCTCTTCCTTCCTCGTGTGCTACACTGGCCTCGCATGGCTTGCTGATGCCATGAAGATGCTCCTTCCTACTCTCTCTCTCTCTCTCTCTCTCTCTCTCTCTCTCTCTCTCTCTCTCTCTCTCAAATGGTCCTTTGTATTAATTCAGCAGGGGGTACAGACATGCAATTTGACTCGTGGTTCCCTTATACCTTCCGACCCATCAACCCATCTCTCTCTCTCTCTCTCTCTCTCTCTCTCTCTCTCTCTCTCTCTCTCTCTCTCTCTCTCTCTCTCTCTCTCTCTCTCTAATGGCCCTTTCATTGCAAGGTATAAGTCATCGCAAAGGTGGGGCTAGTACCGCATATACATCCTATCCACTCATCCGAACTACACCCTTTAAGTGAGATCCAGTGCTGGATCAAGGACCGAGAGGCAGTCCCCAAGGGACGGGGCCTCTCCCACTGCTTCTAGTAGCGGGTTTTCAACTGCTGCCGCTATGTTGCACTTTTCCAGGTACCCAATTGACTGCCCACGTTGAAGAGCCACCGACCACCGCTGCCTATATTGGTGTAAGAGCTTGGCAGCTTGGTAGGAGGTGGGCTCGGCGTTGAAAAACCGCCGTGCAGCCGTCTCTGCAAGTAGCTTCAGGAAGTCTACCGACTCTGGGCAGGGACACCCGTATGTCTCGACCGCTAGTGGGAAGAACTTCACCCACTCAGGGCGGTCCTTGTAAAGGCCATGCTTCTTATCCGCTGCCTCCCTTGCCGCCCACCCCCTCCCCTTAGTGGCGTTCTCATCGCGGGTGCTGATGGGGTCTGTTACCGTCACATCGCAGATGTAGACGGCTCCAGTGGAGCGGCAGCGTAAGGCCAAGTCTGCCTTCTTCTCCTCCACTGGGCTGAAGGCGGCTGTCTCGACGTGCACCATGAAGCCCGCGTCTTGCGCCATCCGTGCGCACTCGTCTCTGAGCTCATTGTGCGTGTTTGTGCGCCCCCCCCCTGTTCCGCATCGTAGCAGGTGATTCGGCAGCCGCTTATCCGGGATCTCCACCTTCTTGGAGCAGTTGCAAACCCCAGGAGCCGCAAAGGGGAGCCCCAGCCGAAACTGGAGCGCGTTGGCATAGTGGGGGGCCTCAAGGCGAAGCGAGGAGTGGATGGGCACGGCATTTAACCAGTCCCCCGCCCCGTACCCTGACAGGGACAGCATCCGCTGCGTGTGACCGTTGTTGGGGTTCGGGCTCATCCCCCGCACCTCCTCCACCTGCACGGCGTAGCGCTGGCCCTGAATAGCCGTGGCCAGCCCATGCTGTAGTTTCCCTGCTGTTAGTGCCGCTCTCTCAGCCTGAAGAGCTTCTTGGGCTGGAAGCGGCAGTTCCCCTTCACAGTCCGCAAGCCATTCGGACAGGGGGGAGGACTCGGTGTAGGGGCCACGCATCAGCTCGCGCGTGACTTCCAGTGGGCCGGTGCACTCGCTGTCCAGGGAGTCAAGCAGCAGCTGCGCCTGCGTGTAGCTGGCGAGGAAGCTGTAGCTTCCCTCAACAGATGGGTCCGTCAATCCAAGGCCACCGAGCGACACGGGGAGTGAGGCTTGCGCCCACGTGCGTGAAATCTCCTCGTCCCCCCGGGGGTGGATGATGCCGCATGCTGATAGTAATGTTTCCAGCAGCCTTCTTCCCCACTCAGACCATTCCTCCTTTGGCAGGCAAGGCAGTGGGGTTGTGCGGGCTAAATATGACACTCGGCGGGAGATACACCGGGAAAGCAGCAGTCCCGCCAGCTGCGGCTCCATCCGCTCAATCAATCCCAGCGGAGCGCCCATCGCCTCCAGGCTGGACCGTACGAAGGCAGTGGTTGCCGTGGAGGTGCCAATGTAACTGCCCAGCACCTTCAATCCGTCGCTGCTGGGAGGAACCCCCTCTGGCAGGCGGAAGTCCGTGGGCATCCTGCCTGCCCAAGCCCCGCACTTGGAAGGATTGTGGCTGAGCCCGATTTCAGCCAAGCGGCCCGTGAAGTGTGTAAAAGCAGCTGCGCATGACGATGGTTCTCCCAGGAAGGTCACATCGTCCGCGTAGGCCAGGCAGATGACCTCGGGGTGGGCTTCCGCTGCTGCTCTCAAAGCTGGTTGCATCGCCGCGGCAAAAAGAAGGGGGCCGAGGGGATCTCCCTGGCGGACCCCTGTTTCACTGAGCAGAGGTGGGTGGTCGAAGGCTGCATCCAGATGCAGCGTGGAGGGATGGCCGTACGAGAAGTGCACCAACGGCAGCAGCGGTTCTAGCTGCGATCCTTTCAAGGCCGTCGCTATGGCCAGGTCAGCCTGTAACACCAGTGCGTCCTGGTTGGCCGCTGTGTAGGTACGGACGACATGTATGACTGCTTCAGCTCCTCCTGGCACGGCCACTCCGAACTGTAGAGGTAAGAAATACTCTCGTGCTGCGTCCGCTACCTAGGTAAGAGATGCCTTGGCTGCTAAACGCAGGATGCAATCGCCTATGGCAATCGGCCTCGTTCCTCCATCCGGCTTGTCGAGGGCTATCAAGCGCGAGGCTGTAAGAAGCTTCCCTACGTCCTGGTGCAGCTTCCCTCTCAGGATTGTGTTAACCAATGCATGAAGGTGAGAACCAACCGTGGCGTGCAGCAGGGCAGCTTCGCGCAGGTGCTCGAATGTTGTCCCTGAGGGACCTGCACCATCCTCTCTCACTCTCTCTCACTCTCTCTCACTCTCTCTCTCTCACTCTCTCCACTCTCTCACTCTCACCATCCTCTCTCATCTCTCTCTCTCTCTCTCTCTCTCTCTCTCTCTCTCTCTCTCTCTCTCTCTCTCTCTCTCTCTCACTCTCTCCTCTCCTTGCCCCTTGGCTTCCATCCTATCCTCCCGTTCTCACCAGGTTTCGGCCCTTATCAGCTCTTCCTCGTGTGCTATACTGGCCTTGCATGGCTCGCTGATGCCATGGAGATGATTCTGCTCTCCTTTGTGGGACCAGCGGTGAGTGCAGGTCATGGTCATACATACTAGCTATATATTCATCAATTCGCCTTGCCTTGCCTGGCTCGCTGGCGCCATGCAGATGATTCTGCTCTTCTTTGTGCGGCCAGCAGTGAGTGTGGTCTCATGTATTGCATTGCATTGCATTGCATTGCAGTGCTTGGTAGCTCTTTCTATGGTCAGGGAGGCAAGAACTTGATGCGGTCTGATCTGACTGACACGTGTTGGGTCTTACCTTGCTCGCTGAGCTGAATTATTGTGTCTTACCACTTTGTTTACCGGTTACGTACCACCAGAACAGTGCCTTCTGTCCCTTTCACTGCCTCTTGAGGTGCCTCAAATTTCTGGCTCGCTGAACTGATTTAAGGCATCGTACCACTTTATTCACTTACTGGTCCACCTGCCTCCTGTCGTTTCCCCTGCCTTGCTTCTTCCCCTGCCTTGTTTGTTCTCTGCCTTGTCTCAACCAACGCAATCTCCCGTTCTCCCTTCTCTCCCCTTCCCTTACCCTCCCTGCCCATCCCTTCCCCTCCATGCCCCTCCCACCTCTTGCCTCTATTCCAGCGTTTTAGTGCTCCTCTCTTCAGCACCTTTGCTCTTCTGCTGCTGCTCTACCTTCCTTCCCCAGTCACAATACACATTTCTCCTCTCGCTCCTTCCCCCTTCCTCTCCTCTTTCCCCACCCTGCCCCTCTCTCGTTTTTCCCTCCCTCCCTCCCTCCCTCCCTCCCTCCCTCCCTCCCTCTCCGTTTGCCTCCACCCCAGGATGCTAGTTCTCCTCTCTGCTACGCCCTTTGCGCTCCTGCTGCTGCTCTACCCTTTCCTTCCCGAATCGCCTCGGTTTCTCCTGGTCAGTAAAAGATATTGGTGGTGGGTTCGTGTTATGGGGTGGGTGGGTGGGTGGGTGGGTGAGTGAGTGAGTGAGTGAGTGTGTGGGTGGGTGAGTGTGGGTGAGTGGGTCTGCAAGCTACACCGTGTGTCCACCACACCTTGTTGCGCTCCTGCCTTTGTTTTACCCCAACTCAACCCAACCCAACCCAACCCAACCCAACCCAACTCAACCCAACCCAACCCAACCCAACTCAACCCAACCCAACCCAACCCAACCCAACCCAACCCAACCCAACCCAAACCAACCCGACCCAACCCAACCCAACCCATCCCAACCCAATCCAACCCAATCCAAACCAACACCATCCTTCCCTTTCTCCTCTCGCCTTCTCTTCTCCTTTCCTTTTGCCTTTGTTCTGTGCTCCTCTTCTCTTCCCCTATTTGTGTGAATTAAGAATTTTAGAAATGCACATAAATTTTCTTGCTCATTTTCCTCCATTCACTCAAATAGCGTGTCAGCAGCCCACCACTTTTCATATCCTCTCTCTCCCTTCTTTTTTCCTTCTCCTTCCTCCTTTCCACTTTTTTCCCACCCCTTCCTCCCGTTCTCTCCTCCCTTTACTCACATACCCTTGCCTTCTCACTCCTCCCCCATTCTCACCCCCTCATTCCTCCCCTTCCTCGATCTCCTTCCCAACCCTCTCTCTTATCCTTGCTCTTCCCTTCCCAATCAGCTCAAAGACAACACGTCAGCAGCACATACAGTCCTAGAGAAAGCCGCTCGAACCAACGGGAAGCGCCTGCCGCCCGGGCGGCTGGTTTCAGCCTCATCTGGTCCAAAGCTACTGGCTTCACCACACCCCTCCTCTCCTTCTCCCGCCCATGCCACCTCCTCGACTCCACCACCCTCCACTACTAAACACCATTCCTCCCGCTACTCCTCTCACTACCCTGTCTACTCCTCCTCCTCCTCATCCGTATCTCATTCCCGTTGCTCCTCCACCACCCCTCTCTCTCCGAACAACGTTTCCTTCAACTCAAATTTCGATGCCGGCCCTTCCCTGCCCTCTCAACCCTCTCCCTGCCGAATATCTGAAAGGGCAACACTCAAACACACATTTGAGGCGCCTCAAAGGACACCCCAAACGGCAACACTCCAACACACAGCACTTGAAAGCACGGTGCTCCATAGAAAAACGCCTCCAAGCACACGCACGTCTAGCCCCCCTTGTTCTTTGTCTTTCCCTCGCTCTTCCTCCTCCTCTTTCCCGCCTCTCCCATCACCCAGTATCAGCTGAAAATACTGACAGAGAGCAAAGTAGTCAACACGATTCGCATTCCGAGGAGCAGCTGCAGCAGCAGAAGCAGCAGCATCCCCGCTCCCATCCCCATGCTCATCCCCATCCCCACCCACAGCACCATCACCACCACCAACATTTCCACTCACATCCCCACCTACCTCCTCCCCCCAATCCCTCCTCCTCTTCCTCCTCCCCTTCCTCCTCCTCTCTCCACAAGCTCGCTAGCCTCCTTTCCCCCTCCCTCCTTCGCTCCACTCTGGTCGTCTGGCTGCTCTTTTTTGCCTCGGCCTTTTCCTACTATGGGCTCGTGTTGCTGACCACTCAGCTGTCCTCTCAGCCCACCATTCCACACTCCTCACCCACCACTCAGCTGTCTTTTCAACCCACCACTCCGCACTCCTCTCAATCAGTAGGGGGAGCAGCATTAGATGCAGAATCAGCGGCAGCAGCAGCGGCGGCAACAGCAACAGTAGCAGGAGGAGGAGCAGTAGAAGCAGCAGCAGCGGGAGAAAATGCATCGTATTCCACTGGCTCTTCCCCTGTTCCCTCTAGGGGCTTGCTCACTAAACAGTGTATTTCTGAGGAGTCTCAAAAGTCAACGCCTGTCCATGGCTCTTCACCTGTTCCCTCCAGAAGCTTGCTCACTAAACAGGACCATCCCATCCCTACAGTAACGATCGCACTCCCTCCCCCTCCACCTCCTCCTCATCCTCCTCCTCTTCTCGGCCCTAGCACACCCAACCATCAACACTCTCTTCCCTCTCTTCGTCGCTCCTTGACTCTCTCTCAACGACAAGATAACTCCACCTCAACCACAGACGATTCCTCGGCCACTCACTCCCCTACCTCTTCCTCCACCTCGTCATCTTCCTTGTATTTCCATTCTCCCTCTTCCTCCTCTCTTTCCCCCTCTCCCTTACCTGGCTGCACACCTGAAAATCAACCTGAGATCTCTTCTCAGACCTATTCAGACGTTTTTGTTACTTCAGCTGCAGAGCTGCCCGGTCTTCTCATCGCGCTGACCGGGGTCGAGATTTTAGGTCGAAAGACCGTCCTCTGGGTTCTCCTCTGCTTAGCAGGGCTTTTTTTGCTGCCCCTGATTCAGCCCTTGCCGCCCACTGCCACCACGATTTTCCTTTTTGCTGCCCGGGCAGCAATTATGGGGTCATTTGCAGTGCTCTGGGCATATACCCCGGAAATTTACCCGACCGAGATAAGATCTACAGGCCTCGGGGTAGCAAACTCATGGGCAAGGTTGGGCGGCTTTCTTTGTCCGTTTGTGGCGGTCGGGCTGATCGAAGGAAATCACAGGGTAGGTCTGGTTGTATTCTTTTGTTTCTTTTTGTTTCGGTTGCTCTTTGTTTGTTGCGTGTGGTTACCAGCTTTGTCCCTTTTCTAACCGTGCGAGCCTGCACATGCACACACACACATACACATGTGTTTGTGTGCATGTGTGCATGCACACTCTCTCCGCCCCTCCCCTCTCCCTCTCCCCCCTCCCCCCACCCCCCCCCCGCCCCCAGCACTTAGTTCGACAAATTTTGAATCTTGGAACCCATTGCGTGTGTTTTATGGGTGTGTTATATTTATGGGTGTGTTATTGGCATGGTGCAAAATCTGTTGTTTGCTCTCTGTTTGCAACCTCTCCCATCCTTCCTGGTGTCCACTTTATTTCGTTGTCTTTTGAGGCGCCTCAGGACTCAGGAGGCCTCTTATGTGCTCTCTGCTTGTTTTCAATGCCTCCCCCACTACCATGTCTGCCTCTTGATTGGCTCATGTTCTATGCTGATGCTCTTGTCACCTGCGGGTTTCATGACCCTTTTTTACTGTCTGTGGCATCTCAGATCTATTTGTATCTCCTCCTTTTTTGTTTTTTAATGCAGGAGTTGGCTATCCTCCTTTTTGTCTTCGTTCCTGTTTTTGCTGCCCTCGTTACTGCATGCTTTGCATCAGAGACAAAGGTATGTTCATGCTTTCGAAAGAGTACTACCGAACTTACTGCATCAGGATTAATGTCGATGAATGGCCATCTTCCCTGTCATCCAATTCTTTTTCATTGAAGTAACATGTTCTCTCACCCATTTTCACTTGTGTGTAGGGGACTGCTCTTGGGGAGAAGGTATCTACCTTTCGACACACCAGCCAATCACCAAGCAGCATGTCACTTACCAGCCCCACTTTCTGTCAACCTGATGGAGTGGATTTTTCACATAATGCAGCTCGCAGCTGGTTTCAAGTGTTTGGGGACGATAGCTCGTGCAGTGACTCTGATTAACCCCTTCTATTCTATCTATTGTCATGTAATATATGTGCCAAAAGGTATGCTTCTGAAATTACTGCATCATTCTAGAATACTAAGTAAATGATCCCTCTTCCCTAAAAAACAAAAGGGAACTCTAATGTATTTTTATTAGAATGCATCCAGTATACAGATTAGAGTGCACTTGATACTTCATCCATTGGGGTGCAAGAGTACTTGTATCGGGTTTCAATTGAAATCACCCACTTGAGTTGCCCGTGCTGTCAGGGAAGAAAATATCACCACACAACGACAGCGTGGGATACGCAAACAGTGGCGCTTGGCTGTTCCAACGATCACCGCGTTGGGCTGGCTCGGGGAGCTTACTGTACAGATATCGAGCTGTCGATTTACTGTCTTGCATGCAGATTGTGAACTCAACAGTTCCATGACGGGCTGTCCAGGCCTCTTTTGTGTGGGCTGGTGAAATTAGTGGGCGGTTTCGGCGCTGCGTGGCATTCCTAGTTTACCCTGATTCGGGCAGGTGGCGCGCGAGATATCCCAGTACGGACACTGCATTTAGCTGGTTGTGGGACGTCACTATCACGTGACACACTGTGATTACTGGCTAAAATTGACCACGCACCTCAGAGCGAATACTGTAATCAGCGGCACCAAATCGCAAGGTTCTGTACTGTACTGTACATTGTACACTGTGGAGATTGGTGCATCGTGTTAGGATATTTCGTTCCTTCCGGCGTTCGTGGGAGTCATGCTGGAACGATGGCAGGCCTCGCAATCCACGCTGGACTCTCTGATTGGCTGCTGCTGCTTGCCTCTTGCCTAGCAGCAGAGGGCAAGCAAGTGCACAGTTGTCATGGAGCACCGCGAAACCTCATGTGACACCACGGAATTTCGGGATTTCTGGGTCGGCCGGGTTGTTTTTGGATTTTCCAGACTTCTGGGCTGAATTGTGCAATCTGCACTGGAAAATGTCGCCTCTAGTGAACTTCGTACGATTAAGACGCGGTGCAGATTGGCCCGATCTGAGTGAGATTGCGTCAGATCGGGGCAATCCACCATTTCCAAGAAGCCGCAGGGGTATTTTGAGGCAATCGCATGCAATCGGAGGCAATCTGTCGATAGCAATCGGAAATCCGATCGATTGCGATCGATCGCCCCGATCTGACGCAATCGTTTGCGATCGATTGCAATCGACAGATTGCCTCAGATCGCGGGGTTTGACGACAGTTGCGAACGGTAACCCCTCCTGCCGAAACTTCTAGCAGCACCATTGGATATCGTGATATCAGAACTTTCCAGACGCGCCTGCCCCCAAAAGGGGCTACGCTGTAATTGCGCGATTCAAAATTTCGGCAGGTGTCGCCAACGATCCAGGGAAGGAACGAGTAAATAACATAGAGCCCTCACGGCTGATTCTCACTTACTTCCTTGAAATTCATCGTCTGATCGCGCGGCTCGGGAAGCAATCGAAAGATTGCCTCAGATCGGGGCAATCCCAGGCAATCCGATCCGACCCGATCGGACGATCTGAGGCGATCGATCGCCCGATCTGAGTCCGATTGCCTCAAATTGGGGCAATCCACCATTTTTGAAAAGCCGCAGGGGTATTTTGAGGCAATCGCAAGCAATCGGGATCGCATTGCTTTCTGTACTTGCTTGCTTTCTGTACCGTGATCCGTCCATCCAACTTCCTCGAGCTCTCCGCCATGGCTCCCAGCTCAACTTCGGAGCTACCAATGTCAAACAATTTCTTGCCTGATGGTGTTCTTTTTTATACCGAACGATCCGCATTAGCCAGAGCTTTAAGAGGATACACTTTTAGTGTTCATACATGGAACATTGTTACCTCTTATCTGGTTCCAGGGATTCACGGGACTATCACCAAGGGCCTGACAACAGTATCAGCATGGCAGCCTACGAAGCTTACACAGGTTCAGGATTGGCTACGAAATCCAGAGCCTCCAGATTACGGCTTATTGGCCTGGATAATGGTTTCGACAGCAAGAGAAGTCCAGCCTACAATAAATGTCTTTGACAGAAGCTGCATCACCAGAGACTTGAACGTTTTTAAGGTGCTCAGGAGCTATCAGGCATCAGGCATTCATTGCCTGCCAACGCGCTCTCATCATTGCACGATGGCCAACGGTCGAGGTCGCAAACCAGGCGCTAAGCAAGGAGGGAAGACGGTTCTCCCTGGTGATGCTACCGGAGATGTTCCTGACGATGTTACTCCTCAGACTACGGCGGACAGCACCCCGTTGACCAAGAGTCCGCTGGTTTCCGCTTCTGCGTCTCCGCTGGCACTCCAAAGGACGTCGCTGGATGACGCGACGCGTACGACGCTGACTGAACGTC